ACCAGCCAGAAAGTCTTCTGGAAGCTTCTATTGCAAACTCCAGCCCAGACTTCCCTCCCACATTCCAGCATTGTATAACCATCCACCTGTAGGAAAAGCCCACTTGGCAGTGTCATCTCAAAATCGATATGGCCAAACTAAACTCATTCTGTCTCCCAAAGCTTCCTTTAGCCATAGCCTTTTTTGCCTCAAGTGATGGTGGTGCCCTCTATCAGTTGCTTAGGCTAGAAACCTTGGAATCATCTTACCTTTCTCTTTTCTAATCCTCTCCACCCAATCCATTAGAAGATCCTTTTGACTCTTGCTTCAGAATAACGCCCAGCATGGATCTGACCACCCCTTACTAGCTCTACCTTAGTCTGAGACATTTTCTCTCTCCAAGAAGTTGAGCTTTCCACCTGCCTATACCTTGACCTCCCCTAATGTCTATTCAGGCAGCCAGGATGAGCCTGTTGTCACATAAGCCATGTTGATTCTGAGCTCAAACTCTTTCAATGGTCCCATTTTACTCCTAGGATAAAAGCTAAAAAGCTTTGAGCATCCTTTGATGACTCAGGCACCTGCCCACAGTGCCCCAGGCATTATGAATGAAATGAGATAAAGTCACACAAACTACCAAGTCCTTTGGAGGAAAAGGGATGGTGCTACCACTCTCTCAAGGGGAGAGTGCCCTGACCCTTGCCTTGACAAGCTTTTATTGGATTTAATTTGCATAGGAATACAGGGTGTATAGGTAAAGCTCATCAACCATTGTCAGGCAGAAATGATTAAACAATAGATAACATTCAAAGATCTCCAAGGGCCTATTTTGAGTCAGGGTCAGATAGCTAAAGGGCCATAAAACTTCAGGAAACAAACACACTTCCTGCTTAGTCCCTTATCATTTAAATTGAGGGTATTAGCAAAGTAGGTTTCACAGGATTTTGTGCATTTTTTCTTAGGCCTGATCACCCTAGGGAACCTGCCCTTTCCAGCACAGGGTGGCACCTACCCCCAGCACTGTTTCAGGCTTAAGTCATTGTTTCAGGCTTAAGTCAGGCAGGGGAAGAAAGGAAGCCAAGAGATTAGGAGACTTCTTGCAGACAGAATGAGGACTCAGGCTATGTCAAAGCCAAGGGGCAAGGGCCCATCACCTTCTTTTTCTGTAGTCCCCCCCAAGTCCTTCCCTGGGGGTGCCCATGATCATGCCTATCTTAGACTATCCCTCCCTTGAGGAATCTTACCCATCATTGGTTAACTGATCAAGCATTGGGGTCCAGGAAGAGTGAAGTAAAAGGAGCAGAGGCAGCGACCCTGCCAGTAAGACAAGCTTTGTCTCTTTAGTGGCTTATGGTCCAAAGGTCACCCACTCAGCCTTAGCCATGGGGGGTTACAGCTTCTGAAACCAGGCAGGGCAGCTCCCAACACCTTGATCCATCCCTTAATCCACCTCCCCACAGCACCCTCTACTGTCCCGCCATTTTTCTTCTAATCCCTTTTTTTTTACTCTATTCCTACTAATTTATTTGCAATTCTGAGAACAACTGGGTAGAGTCCCAAATTAAGGCCTGAACCTAGGTGGTTCCCTGTGCCTATAATGCATTTCTTTTTTACATGACTCTCACATATTTCAATTTTTTGGTCACATCTCACTTTCTTAGTGAGGAGTGAGGTTCCCTTATACCATATCTTTCTACCCATGAATTTCTGATCCATCTTAACATGGTCTGTTTTTCTTACAACTATAGCATGGCTTACCTTCTAAAATACTCTGTACTTTATTCTGTCACTATGTTTGTTGTTTGTTTTCTGTTTTTACTTATCTTCACCAAAATGAAATGTTCACTGACTATTCCAAGTACCTAGCATACGCTTAGCATATCATAGATGCTCAGTATTTGTGGAATGGTAGAATGCATGAATGAATGAACGAATGAATGCTTTTCTTTATTCCTCATACTAACCTCTTCCAGGTTGGTTTCATTGCCTTCATTTACAAATAAGGAAATTGAAACTCAAAGAAGTTAGCTGCATAATTTCACAAGTCAGAAGTCTTGTCAGAGGCAGAGCTGAGATTAAGCAACCTCTCTGACCTGGGACTTTTCTACTTTATTGTACTAAATATGTACAGTATAAAATATAGGTATTCCTTAAAATGCAGTACCTTTATACTTTCTACTCCTTTTTCTTCATACTCTCAGCCAAGACTTTTAAATAAACCTCTTAAAATACTGTGACTAAAGTGACTGGCTTATAAACTAACTCACATAAAATGAATAATATAAGGTGTATCAGTCGGGACTCTGGATGAAAAGTTATAGAAACAAACCAAATTGAGCTAGCTTAAGCCAAAAATTAACATAATAATAAATAATTTATGAAGTTTAAGTAGAATCTGTCATAAGGATATATGAGCTCATGGAAACCATGGGAAAAAATAAAGAAGTGAAAGCAGAAATCAGATAAGTTTAGAGAGTTCTTACTCCATCATCTTCATGTGTCTCTTTCACTCTTTTTTCCCACAGTTCCTCAGCATTTACTCCCTCTGCCTATAAGGAACCAGGGCACCAAGCTCCAGCCATTATTCTTTCACCTAAATGAGACTGCACTCTCCTGTTACCTCTCCTGGTTTAATCAAGAATGATCAGGGATGAGGACTGAATGACAAACAAATGATAGAGGACACATTTGAAGGTTGGGGAATGTGGAATGCTGGGGGGATGCTAGAGAAAGTGGCTGTGCAGATACCCTCAAAGTAACTGACTCTAGAAGAACCCAGTGGAATGGTAGAGAAAACACTGTTAAATCAGGTAGCCTAAGGTCAAATTTCAAATATCTGGGCTTATGTTTTCCAGGGTAGGGGGGTTGTATTACTTTTTTACTTTTTTTTTGTTCTTAGTCTCCACACATTTAGGGACTAAATGATGGTTACTTGGTGACAGGAAAAAAGCAGGAAGGAAAAATAAAAGGGGGGTTCTCCCAGTAAGGAAAATGAAAAAAATACCAGTAAATAAGATTTCAGCCTTCTAATCTCAGTTCTGCCATCAAGGAACAAATACCTTGGGCAAGTTGATTCCCTGATCTCAGTTTCTTCATCTGTATAATGAGGAGATTAGGCAAGAATCCATAAGTTTCCTAACCTGCTTGATCCAGGGAATGAACTAGGGAGCATTTTCAACATGCAGATTGCCCTGACTCTACCCATGAACATTCTCATTTAATAGCTCTTGTATGAAATTCTATAATTCATATTTCAGTAGCCTTCCTGGCAATTGTGGTTATCAATATATCTGGAAACCACTAGCTAGATGACATTTAAGACACCAGCCAGTGTTTAAAATAGTACTTTACATAACTATTATCTAACAGGAAATACTCCAATTGTAATGAAATTGATTTCTTATTGTATATCTGGGAGCTGGGATTCTTTTCCAGAACTTGCATGATATTTTCATTTTATTTCTACAGTCAATTAAGAACAATGTCTTAGCACAAAACATATTCTCAATAAATGCTTATGAAGAAATAAATGGTCAGTTCTGTATGTTTTAACAATTATCAATTTTCCATTATCTTGAGTTACTGATTCCTCATATATGTAGGGGGAAATTCCTTTCAGCGTGTATCTGGTTTAGTGGACTATTGAGAATATTTAATGTGATAATTATATTTAAACCATGACTCATAATCATACTTACACTTGATAGCTTTTGATAATGAATCTCATTTTTATCCTTTGTAACCTGGATAAATGAAATATATATGAAAATGTAACATCCCCAGCATGTTTTAAGTGCTATGAAAATACATTCTATTGTTATTATTGTTCTTGTATTTTATCATCCATAGCATTCTAATACTTAGCCTGTCAATTTTGCCAGTCTCAAATATTGCTCAGACAAGTTCTGCAGAAAATTGTATATCCCTGAACTTTTTGAATGTCCAGTATTCTTTTTAAAAACAAATACACTGTTATGAGTGTCTAAAGGGACTGAACTTCAAGGCAGAGATTCTGGGATGTCGTTCTGCCTTTGCGCCTATTAGTGAAGTAAAATTGGGGCAGCACTCACCTTTTCTGGCTTCTAATTCCTCTTCTGTAAGATACTGTTTACATCCATTCAGGCCCTATAATTATTATAAACAATTTAGAGGTTAAAAAATTATTTACACCAATATTCTCAATTCCAAATATCATTATGTCTCTTCTTAATACTTTTTTTCCTCATTCTCTTCTGACACTTTTTTTAATGTGCTGTGTAAGGGCCCACAAGTATATTGCTTAAATAAAAAGAGAAGCAGAACTTCATTCATTCCTACACTTTCAACACCAGGTCATTTTTGTGTGCAACACAAGTCCTTTACTTTGTGACCTTTCAGAAAGGATAATCACAGTTCAGCATAAAGCAAGTGATGTAGTCAGGATATGTACCTCTCCCATAAGTTTGAGCCCTATGAAAAGTCCCATTTTATAACTTTCTTGAGAAGGTGTCATTAATAATTAGAGGTACTGGTTTAGCGTGGGAAGCAGCAAGGCCCTAGTCGTACACTTGGGAAGATTATGCCATGTTTTGTTTTCTTGCGGTGTCAGATGAACTACCCTGGAAAGAACAGTATTTTTACCTCCTTCTTTAGTCACAGTCACTTACTTGCAGTGTTGCTAAAATAAATAACTCGCAGGAAGTAAATAGTCATGTATGTGTAATATACTTTATAAAATCAAGTGATTGATGCTTGCACTTTATTGCTTTTTGAAGAGGATGTAATTGTTAATAGTAGAAAAGTAAATTGTAGAATATCAAAAGTTTTATTACAGTGATATTTTTATGGTTGACTTTATTTTCTGAAAAGCATAAAAATACAAAGTGTTTCCATCATGCAAGAACACAGCCATGTAAATTTTCTGTGAAGCTCTGTCCTTGCACCATTAAGTTTAAGCCTGCCAGAGTGGTTCTTATGAGGTCTTCTTAAGTTTCTTTTTGCCTCAGGCTAGTATGGCATCTCATTGCATTTTGTTGTTTCAGAACAGCTGCCCATCACATGCCAAGAGTGATAACGGGTTAAAAAAACTGCAAAGTTTGGATCTTCTTCTGCTCTTCTGCCTCAGAAGCAAGAAAAAATGGAGAATTGATATTCAAAGGTAAAACTGTCTCCTTTTCTTTATATAACACATGCCTACAGCCATGCTACGTGAATTTCCTTCTTTCATTTTCTTGATAGAATGGTATACTTGCATATAATATTTCTGGCTTGTAATTCCAGACATATTAACAGGCTGCTGAACCTAAAGACTGTGATTTTTAACTCCTTTATTGTCTGTGCGGATTCTGGATGGTATGTGTCTTATATGTTTAATCTTCATTTTTGTTAATCTGGAGGAGCCGATCAGACAAATGCTATCTTCAGGACTCTAGACCAAACTGTTGTACTTTAGGTTAAGAATGGAATTATGAAAATAAATAGCATAGTGTCAGTTTTTACTCTTTCTTAGAGTGTTGTACAAATGTTAATTTATCAGCCCAGATATGCTCAACATAGTCTACAGGAGCTAAGAAGGGCAAGGGACACACTTGAGTCAATGCTATGATCTCCACTCCTTTCATAATATGTTGTTATGTAGTTTGGGGAAGGAAAAAAGGATCCTAATGATGGATGGATCAGGAATACTACATATGTGGAGTCAGACATAGGGGATTGATATTGCTGAGTACTTTAGAAAGCTGGCATCTCTGTTTAGATTGCTTGTTTGATAGAATGATGTGGACGTGGTAATTTCATGGGGAGCTGATCCCATAGATCAAGAGTTAGAAACCAGGGAGAGTGAATAAAAAAAAACAAAAAAAACAAAAAAAAACTTGGGTAAATGAGTCCACTGCTGTGGACCAAGGGAACTTGATTCCTCTGGGACCCCCAAGAGGGCACAGATACCTTCCAGAATTTCTGCCTGAAGGATGTGCAGCAAAAAGTTTACCCACTGGCTTTTGCCCTTGGTTGTGGATGGCTGCCTAGGGCATTACAGCCCCACATTCAGAGCTATGCTGGCACCACACAAGGCAGAAAGCAGAAAGTCCCTCAGTTGTCACTGGAGGCAGACACTACAAAGGCCAGGAAAGCCAAGTTGGCACAGAATGGTCTGTGCAGCTGTCACTAAAATCAGAGGTGGGCCAAGGTGATGTGATACAGTGGGCCAACATCGTCGCTTATGGTTCCTTCTACTTTATTTTATACCATAAAATAAATTACATTTTCCTCCTAAATGAACTGTCTCCAAGAAGAAAATATTTTGTTTTAAAGACACTAGAGAGATATCCACATGTTATAGAACCAGAGTGAACTCTATTTTCAAAACTAACTTCTACACCAGTAAATTTTCCATTTCAGACTGAGAAATGCCTCTTGGTCCACATACACATCTGAGACATTATAGAATTAGATTTGAAATCTGACAAAATTGTTGGAGTGGCTGGAGATAATGTAATAACATCTTACTATGCCTATACTTACTACTCACTGTATATTGTTTTCTGTACAGAAAGGTATCTGTGGATATACAAACATGTTGTACAACCCAGTTAGCAGTGTTATTATTTGTGTGAAATGAGTGACTTAAATTTGCATGTCAGAACTGATGTGCTGTGGATGGTCATCCAGCAAAATGGATTTAACACATTAAAGTGAATCAGAGGTTTGTTTGTTTATTTGTCTTTGGTTACAATAAGGACTGACATAAGATTAAAATAAAGTCAGGTAAAGGCTTCCATTGTGTTGTGACTTAGAATATCATGTGTTCAGAGGATGAATGTAATTGGTGACCCTGTAAGAAGCAGCTATTAAAATAAACAAATAACAAACATTCAATGAACATATTCCTCATAGAAGAAGTGAAAATGGAGGGGAAAAGGAAAAGGGCAACAGAAAGAGGCAGGAATGGGAAACCAAAGTAGTGGGAGATAGCCAGACCAAATACCATATCTGGGGTGAAGAGAATTGCTGACAGTAGAGAGCATATCTTAGAACAAACCACATCCTGAGCACAAAATGCAAACCGAGTGAATAGTTCCTGTTAATTAGCAGCATGAAAAATTCCTGAATTATCAAAGAAAGAGGAAATGACTGTACCTTCTCACCCGAACCATGCAATCACCTCTCTGATCTCATTCAGCTCTAAAATCCTGCGAAATAGAAGTTCTGATCATGTCTGCTCTTTGCTCAGAAAATATCCTCTGATGTACCAATTCTTCACTGTCCAAAATTCTTAACAAACATCTTAAACCTGCCACTCTTAAGTTTTCAGACTTATTTCTTATTCCTTCACTTACCAGTGGTCTGGACCACTGTTAGGTAATGTAAGTTCTGTGATTTCTCTTCCAAGTGATTTTAATGCAATGTGGTTCTCAAACTGAAATTAGTCTGGGATGAGGCTCAAGAATTTACATTTCTAACAAGTTCCTGGGTAATGCTTATCAGCAGGACCTTACTTTGAGATCCACTAAGAAAAACAAATGACCCAGGCTGACAATGCAGTTCTACATTGCACTTTAAGTCAAAGACTGATTGCAATACACGAGCTTACTTGCCAACTTCCCCATTATGAGAGGGGTTCTAGTTTAAGGTCACAGCCTGAGTCCTCTGATCAGATACTGTCTTAATATCATAAAATCTCCAACAGTAAACTTTTTGATACACTGTACATCCCCTTTTGTGTTATGGACTTTAGATACATAAATATGTGTTGGATGGTTAGAATGGAAGAGGGAGGGAAGAGAGATGGAGGATGGGATGCCTGGAGGACAAATGCACAGGTTTAGCAACTGAGGGCTGATTTCAGCAAGAAACTCAACTTCTCATAAAGAAACTGCTCTGGCATATGCCATTATTGTGTGAGACCATACTCAACATATAAGACATTTTATTAGGTGGGATAACACTGTGATTCAGAACCTGAGTGTCTGGTTATCAATAGTATTGTGTTCTTTAATAAGCAGAGCCTTTCACAAAGAAAACACTACTATTTGGATCAAGTATAATGGGGTGTAAGGGAGATGTCATTTGTATCAAGACAAATTGTTAACTTTACTTTATAAAAGAGCCACTGGGTATGTGAAGCTAGAAAAATCTCATCCATTTAATAAATTCCTTTGCAAATGTCTTTTCCTTGAGTTTCCACTTTGCAGCTGCAGCATAATTTGAATGTTTGTTCACATTTAGGACAATTGTGCCTTCTGGTTTTTTGCTTTCCTGCATTCAAATGTGCTCACATATCAACATTGCACATTTTCTCTCTGCATCTTTCATCTGCATACATCATCCCGTGATTGGCTTGGTAAATTTATCCCACTTTTCTTGCTAAAATAACTGTTCCTGCTGTCTGTTTTCTGCCTACTCTTTGATTTATTCCAGAAATTGGGCTCGATGCCTACTTTTAGAGCTCAGTGTGAAATTTGTTCTGTATGTTTTTAAACCAAGTTCCCACATATTTTTTCTGTTTTGTGTTCTGTAATGCTATAAACTTCAAAAAACTCATTATATCTATGTATTAGCATAAATAATAATGAAGGATGATAACATGAATCTTGAAAATTTACTTTTAAAAATTATTTCACATTTTAACTTAATAGTGAGACATTAAAGTTTTCATGTCTTGCTATAGCATGCCTGATGTAAAATAAGGACAGTGTTAATGTTGCCAGCAAGGTTGCTGTAAAGACTAGAGATAATCTAAAAAATAGCTAGTTCTTACACGCTTATGTGCTGAACATATTTAGGTGTAAAAACTTGTGCAGGCCTCTAAGCCAACCAGAGCCCAAAATATGGTTTTAGAAGTTAATGAAGATTGTGTTCTTCTTCTCCAGTATAGTACTACAAGGCTAAGCAGTTTTTATTTTAGACCCGAAGAGAGGGACACAGTTTAGAAAATGTATCCCAAATTTAGTCATGTGAGATTTACAAAACTAACTGGAAAATTCAGCATACTTTTTCATTTACACAGGATATTTGGTTCTATTCATTGCTGAAGATTACACATAGTAAACCAGTCCCTTTTTCCAAGAGTGACTCCTTCTGTGTCAAAGTATAATGTTAGCAAATTGTATTTTGTCCTCCATCTTGTTATCTAGACACAGTTTGGGCAGAAGTTAAAATAAAGATTCTTTAAGACAAAGATTTAGCCTGCAAAAATGTTCATGCACTTTTTATGCCTGATTTTAGTGAGTTCAAAGGTATTCCTTTCTTTCTTGTCCTACACAAACCTATTTTTATAGCCAATTAGCCCAATGTAGCCTTATCCCCACAGGCAAAAGAAATCAAATTTTTGTCAATAGGTGGTTCATTTGCTATAGGATTTGTGCAAATAATTAATTTTCCTGCTGCTTTTTGTGTGTTTTGGAGGTTGAATTGCTGCTTTGTTTTGGGCTAGCCTCAGTAATTTCTCAGCAGAAATTCAGAGCTGCCTACTTAACAGGAATATAAATCCTCTATGGGTCCATGTGTTTTGAGGTATAACTTACTACTTTACTCTTATTTTTTACATCAGAAGTAATTTAGGAGCTAAGAACTACTGGTGCTTTTCGAGTGCTGTGATCATTTCAGACATCTGTAAGATAACTAAAATTTAATTGTGGAGTGTTGTGTTTATTTGTCATGTCTCAGAAACATATCAGTGTCAAAATAAAAATCATACTGATGAGGCCGTTTCCAGCCCCAAGGAGACACACACACAGTGTGCGGTGGCAGAGTGGTCCACCCACTCAGCTCAGGCCTTCACAGCGGCACAGTTATTTCTGCACAGGCCATTCTAACTGCAGTTGCCATTTCTTATGAAGTCTCCTGTTAAGTACTTTCTGAAAGGAACAGAAATATTCTTTGTTGTATAATAATTTTTTTATAAAAGAGTATCAGTGGGTTTTATTCCAGTGCACATTTCTGAGTATTTGTTGCCACTCTAAGTATTACCCAAGGACAATTTACTAGGTAGTAAAAGGATGCAGCTTGACAAGAATTATAGGAGAAAATAAAAGGAGGGAAGGCGTGTTGGCTTTTATTTTGGTCTTGCTGTATTCTCATCATGTGCTAGAAGTTTTCACCTAAAATATCTTATTTGTACATAAAAGCTAAGTATAGAGAACATAGTATTGTTTCAAA